CCTGGCCGGAGTTTTTAGAAATCTCCGTTTTCAGTGACCGAAAACGCCGTTTACGTGTGGACGAAAGGTGCAAACGCATGTTTTCAAAAATACCCGGGTACGTGTGGATGTAGCCTAAGAATCTTTGAAAAAAATCCATTGTTAATAGGATGCTGTTGAGTTAATTGTATTGTATTTAAAAGTACAATTATTAACAAACACTTGTAATTTATGTTAATATGCTATTTTGCAACTTCCGCATTATTTGCAGCTTGTCTTGAAGGGTGTAGGTGTGTATGTGCACTGTGGTTCATGTGAAATCCCTCAGCAGGGCATGCACAAACATTCACGTTTTAATTTCAAAACCAAAGGTTTCTGATTGTTTAGACTTTGTAAAGGTTGCAAAACACACCTTCTCTAGTTATATGTGAACAAATGTTTCCAGTTGTGCAGTTTTTATATTAAAGGTTCTCTTTGAAAATGTCTTTTTTTTTGCGGTGGTTTTCCGAGCAGATGTTCTGTTTAAACGGTTCATCATATACAGAACCTTAACTTACGTTTGACCTCAGTATCTTCACTTTTAGGCCAAACAATGAAAACAACTTATAATGAACAAAATGGAAGAAATAGTCAATATAAGGCTGGACTCCACTTCTGTTGTTAGGAGTTCGGTATATACTTGTAAAAGCAACATATCCATGTCCTCAACAAACATACAATTTAACACTAGGGGGCAGCATGTAAACAAGCAACAACATGGCTGTGCTAAAAACTGTGATGTGGGTTGACCCACCGTGTAGGTCTAGACTGAAATAGCTTTACAAAAGAGTAAGTTCTTTACTTTTTTTCCATTAGCTCTACAAACAGGTCAAACCTTTTTGGACAAATACTTGAAAACTGTTGGCATTTCCATCAGCCTACATACACCATGTTTAATGGCAATAAGTAAATGTTATTATGCTCAACACTGATAAACGAAATAGTCCATCTGGCAAACATCAGCATGTTAACATCGTCATAGTGAGCATGAGAGCAAACTGTTTTTAGCCTTTTGTTCTCGGAGGACAGACTTGTTATTTTATTTTTAATGCTCAAACCGGTCAAAGATATGTTGTCATGGTAGTATTACAGTGATTTATTGTACTTTAGTTAACACTAACAACTTTGCACTGAATATGATGGATGAGCTCAAGAAACAAATGTTTTAACATTCTTGCAGATTTCATCTTTGCCTTTAGATTCTGCTCATTCCTCAACCTTCTGCTGGATAGTGTTGAATTTAACAAGCTAGTGAACTCCAGATCCTTGACTCCAAAGGGCGACTCTCCAGAGGACAAGCTTCCTTCCTGGGCCTGAGCTTCTCCAAACCAAACCCTGGATGTTGTGTCCTCACACACGAGGTTGGGGTGATGCTGAATAGTTCACAGAGAAGTCACAGAGTTCTGTTCCCGCTGCAGACAGGAAAGCAGAGGGGAGAGTATCCCCCAACACAGCAGCACATGTTTGTTAATCCTGTAGCTTATTTTCAACGTGCTGGATTCCAGCACCATATTTCCAAAGACGCATGTGTATAGAGTTCATACGTGTACAGATGGATACAACTGGCATGCACAGTTGGATGCACATCTCACACACTCATTTATTCACATCAGAGTGCCAGAGACTCAAGAGGGAGCACGTGTGGAATGACAGCAATGCCCAAACACTGATCTGACCCAGGTCACTCTCCTTTCTTGAAGGGGAATGTCATAAATTATAACTCTGTTTACTTCATGCGTCTGGGGGAGGTACATGACCATGAATCACAGCATGGTGAGAGGATTAACAGTGTCTTTGCTGGGGTGCTTTGTAGTTCATGCATCCCTAGAGTTCATTTTAGTTTGTCCGCGTGAAAAATTTTCCTTTGAGCGTAGAAATTCTACAGTTTGCATCATTTGTCTCGGAGCAGAAACTCAGACAGCTAAAGATTGAATAAATAAGAGCCAGTGCTGTCACCACGAGAATGAAATCAGTTCTTTATAGCCATCCAAGTTCATCAGGTTTTATTGAAATGAACCACAGTGACAGTGTTTATTCTCCAGATAATCTGAGTTGTCATGTCCTTGCTGGAGATAAAATAAACAGATTCAAGGGCTCAGCAGCGATAAATTGATTGGCGTTTTACCAGGAGCTGAAGTGAAAGTCTGCCAGCTTGCTGAATGTCCTTGTCATTGTGTGTTTGAGAGCTTTTGCACTGAAATTTTATTTTTAAATAGCAGCGTGTTTGTGTACACGATGTTCAGCATGCAGCTATTTTCTTGGTTCCATGTGTCATTTTGGATCTGTGCGGCTGTGGCTATTCGCTGGCATAAATTGAGAAGCAATAAAACATTTTCTTATGCATGTATTTTCTTATAAATGGCTGAGCGCATCAAGAACAATGTGAAAATTCAAATATTCTGTATGACAGTCTGAATATATTTAGCGCGTATCCCTGCAACTACTGGCAAGAAACAGGTGGATTTTTTTAGTAAGCTTGCTCATATCGAAGTGGATACAATAATTTTTTCCCAATTTGAAAGGGAGAGGAAATTATCTGTAATCATTTCCGAAACTTTGCAAGTTAATATGATTTCTGTTTGTTTGCTTTAGCAAATTAATACTCGTGTTTAGAACTTTCTAGCTTCAGTGTTATTTCGTTTGTGTTTATATCCCAGTGTTTCTGTGTGTGTCCACATATCAGTGTGTATGAGTGGAGGTCAAGCTCACCGAACCCTGATAATGGTGAGCCACACAATTGGCCGACATGAGAGTTTTTTGTCTATGTCAATCTTTCTCTTTTCATTAATGTTGCCCTGATCATTGTAAGATGTATACAGAAGCAAACAAGTCCATGGGGTCCTTCAGGAGGAGAGCAGGACCTGCTGCACACAGTATAAAGGAAATTCCAGAGGCTCACATGGAACCACTGTTAATACTTTGGGGAGATACTCCAACTCACTGAACCCACCAGGATGTGGGTGGGTTGAAAAAGGACATAGGGAAGAGTAAAGAGATGTGAAATTAGAAAAGAAAGATAGGCCACTCTGGATGAAAGTCAAGGAAGAGGAGATGAAGAAAAAGACTGCAAGAGATACAGAGGGCCTGAGGGAAAGGGCACTTTAGTTTACATTAGCTCATTCATTAGCCATCCACAGCTTGTTTGAAGACTTCTGTGGAATATACACAATGTTAAGAGCGTCTGCAACAGATTGCATTCTCTCTCCGAGGAGAACTCAGTTTCCATATGTGATGTGTTGATGTATGGGCTGTGGTGTGTCACGTTTAAGACTGATGGGAGTCAGCCC